CACATTTAAGATGGAAACACATCTGGGGTTGATATAATGTGATTATAACATGCCTAAATATTCAATATTGTGTTGATGAAAAAACCCAATACATTAAGGAGCTTGGTGGTGAAAAACCCAATTTGATATTTGCTTGAGGGGTGAATTGGAATTGATAATGCAATTAAAAAACTTTATCACCCAATTACATAAAAAAATGGTGGGTAAAAACCCCAATTTGTGAATTCTTATCTGGAGCTCTGATTTACACATCCTGTTTGGTGTTTTTCTCCTACCATATCATTATTATTTGCTTTTAAATATAAATCAGAAATAACCAACTTAAAATGGAAAATTTTAAAAGAAAAAAAAAAGTAAAAAAAAAAAAATCCCCCCCCCAAATTTTTTGAACCCCCTTATGATTCATCACCCCCAAACTCAATTCAAGCCTTCCCTTTGTGGTATGGTACCTTGCAGTACAATTTCAGAGAGATCCATACACTTGAACACAAGTTATTGTCTGGAAACTAGAAAAATGTGTTTTTTGGCCCCTTTTTGGCCCCAAATTCCTAAACGTTTAGGCCAATTACCCCCAAACTCAAACCCAGCTTTCCCTTTGTGATATGGAACCTTGTAGTACAATTTCAGAAAGATCCATACACTTACACACAAGTTATTGTCATGAAACTAGAAAAATGCTTGTTTTTTGCCCCTTTTTTGCCCCTAATTCCTAAAATATTGAGCCAATTACCCCCATCATCAATCCCAGCCTTCCCTTTGTGGTATGGTACCTTGCAGTACAATTTCAGAGAGATCCATATACTTGAACACAAGTTATTGTCTGGAAACTAGAAAAATGCTTATTTTTGGCCCCCAATTCCTAAACGTTTCGGCAATTACCCCCAAACTCAATTCCAGCTTTCCCTTTTGTGATATGGAACCTTGTAGCACAATTTCAGAAAGATCCATACACTTACACACAAGTTATTGTCATGAAACTAGAAAAATGCTTGTTTTTTGCCCCTTTTTTGGCCCCTAATTCCTAAAATTTTGAGGCAATTACCCCCAAAATCAATCCCAGCATTCCTTTTGTGATATGGAACCTTGTGGTACAATGTCAGAGAGATCCATACACTAACACACAAGTTATGTCTGGAAGTTACAAAAATGCTAATTTTTGGCCCCTTTTTGGCCCCTAATTCCTTTACTGTTGGTACCATAACCCCCAAAATCAATCCCAACCTTCCTTTTGTGGTATTGAACCTTGTGGTAAAATTTCATAGAGATCCATTCACTTAAACTAAAGTTAGAGTGCGAAAACCAATGTGTCTTCGGACGACGACGACAACGACTACGACGACGACGATGCCAACGTCTTACCAATATACGACCACAAAAATTTTTTTGCGGTCATATGATAAAAATAATCCAGTCTGCACTAGTTATTTACAAATTAATGTCATGTACACATTATATTGTTGATATCTTCCTCTGTTTCAACTTTCCAAAGGTCCCCACACATTTTTCATAATCAAAATCTTCCTCCTTTGGTCCTTCAATTGATATCTATGCATTAAGCAATTCAGCACTTTTTGGCATAGTCTGTTTCTCAAAGGTGTTTTAAACATGAAAACCACCTTTTTACAATCAGCAGTTGAAACTGGCAAAGCAAGACAAATTGCTGCATACTTAAACAGACAAGGATACAAAGTTCCAAGACTGGCAACTTTGTTCATTGTCTGCCTAAATGTCATGTCTTTACATTCTTTCACTAACAGTGTCCTCAATTTGCTGATAGAATGGTTTCAGCAGCAACAGCAAGTTGTTAAATAAAACTTTGAATGTCATCATTGCTTCACAGAGATTTTACAGGAAACAATAAAAAAAAAAGTCTATTTGCGTTAATTACAGAAGTCGTCAATGAAGAATACTTGACATACGGATGACATATTTGACAATTACCTGTTTGGAAGCTAAGCTGACATTTTATTTCATGACAATTAACTATTTTTTTTTTAAATACATTCCTGTCCGATTTATTTATAACGCTTCATAATTGTAAAAATTCGTAAGGGTTCCGCGGAACCCAGTGTCTCGCCTACTTTTTGCTGTTAATCACAGGCTCAACAAAAATGAGGAAAAAAATTAATAAAAATATTCCTCTCTATACTATCTTTTGATTGTAAGTAGCTTCTGTCCAAGTTTGGTAAAAATCCAGGATAGTTTATGAATCTAATAAATGTTTTAAAAACTTAAACTGTAGACTGTATGTAATGTTAACTGGAAGAAAAACTAAGTCCATTTATAAGTAAAATACGGAAAAAATGGAACAAAATTTCCTTCTAGATACTAGCTTTTAATCATAAACAAGCTTCTGTCCAAGTTTGGTACAAATCCAGGATAGTTTAAGAAAGTTGTTAAAATTTTAACACTTTAACCACAGAGTGAATGTAATGTTAACTGGCAGAAAAACTAAGTCCATTTATAAGTAAAATACGGAAAAAAATGGATTTTTTTTTTACAAAATTTACTTGTTGATACTATCTTATGATCATAAACAAGCTTCTTTCCAAGTTTGGTAGAAATCCAGGATAGTTTAAGAAGGTTATTAAAATTTCAAAAACTTTAACCACAGAGTGAATGTAATGTTTCCTGGCAGAAAAACTAAGTCCATTTATAAGTAAAATACAGAAAAAATGGAATTTTTTTTTAACAAAATTTACTTTTTAATATTACCTTATGATCATAAACAAGCTTCTGTCCAAGTTTGGTAGAAATCCAGGATAGTTTAAGAAAGTTATTAAAATTTCAAAAACTTTAACCACAGAGTGAATGTAATGTTTCCTGGCAGAAAAACTAAGTCTATTTATAAGTAAAATACTGAAAAAATGGAATTTTTTTTTTACAAAATTTACTTTTGAATATTATCTTATGATCATAAACAAGCTTCTGTCCAAGTTTGGTAGAAATCCAGGATAGTTTTAAGAAAGTTATTAAAATTTCAAAAACTTTAACCACAGAGTGAATATTTGTGGATGCCGCCGACGACGCCGACGGAATGTAGGATCGCTATGTCTCGCTTTTTCGACAAAAGTCGAAGGCTCGACAAAAATCCTATCTTGCCGAAGTGAAAGAAATTTAGCCCCACTTGTGATAAAAACAGCTAATGAATCTGCTATGTGACCCATTGAATTAAAGATAGAACAACACTAGTTTATTAAAAACAATATTTCCGTAAATAACTACGTATGTTTTGAAAGTTTTTCCATCAAATGTTTTAAATATTTCATAATACACGTCTTTTTCTTGGCCCGGTTGCGGTGATGTGTATTCTTTGATATAATCAATCAACCGTGACTAATCTAAAAATAACTGATTGTTGTGACCAATCAAAAAATAATGCATCGATGTAAATATACATTGATATAGCTGATGGAAAAAACTGCGAAACTTTATTTAAAAAAAAAAAGTTTTGTCCATTCTCGGTGAAATTACGTTCATTTTATTTTATAATACCAGAGACTGTACCAATTTTTTTTAATTTACTTTTTAAAGATCACAGTAAAATAACGATGTCAAACACCGGCCGTTTTTTTTGGTGAAATTTATACTGGAAAAGGTTTAACTTTTTATTTAGCACAGAAAGATATGCATTGGAGATTAATCTTACTATTTATTTATCAGCTAACTGGCAACTTCTATTATGTAACCGAAGTCTCGATGTACAAATCAAACTAATCAAGAAGGTTGTAAAATCCAGGCACGTGCAACATGAGGCATCCAATTATCAGTCGGATGAGTTCAAAACACCTGTGGAGTGTTGTTACTTGTCACTTCACTTTCAAAATATCGATAATAAATATTATTCACACTATAATTTTCACACATAGCGGGATGCATTGCGGTAATGATGAAAGCATGGCGGTCGAAATTTATGCGTAGCACTACCGCAATGCTTGAATAGCCTAGGGAAAACACTGGTTAAACTATTAGCACAATTATTATTGATAATTTAGCAGTTTTAGGAATGAATGATGTAGTGGAATTGAATGTAGAATAAAATTATAAACAAGTTAAAATTGCAATAGAATTATATTATAATGAACTGAAGATTTTTTAAAATTTTTTTGTAAAATAGGATGATTATATGGGATAAAATTGCGACATGAAATTGGGCATGAATTGGTAATAGTGGTTTATGGGATTGTAATTCTAAGTGGTTGGGATGTTATTTTAATTAGATTTGTGAATTTGTGGTTAGAATTCTTCTGTTAAGTGATATCCAAAGGTGACATTAATGTTATGTGTTTTAGAGTGGATTATCATAAACTGTGGTTTGAGTTATTTCCCTTTGAACAGAAATGTCAACATTTAGGAAATTGTTTTAAGTATATATGGGAAATGTTTAAATTATTATTGAAGTTGATTGAAATATTTGAATGAGAATGCTGATAATTTAAAAATTTTGGTGATGCATCTTTTTGAAAAATGGGACTAAAATACAAAATCAAAAAACATTATTATATTCAGCATATTGAAATCAATCAAAGCACTCTTATTCCGACCCATTTAAAAATCAAATTTCTAAATACATGGTAAGATTAAGCTTATCAAAACATACAATTTCATACAAATCCATACATTTATACTCAATTTATTGTCCTGAAAACAGAAACATGTTTGCTTTTAACCCTTTTATGGCCCAAAATTCCTAAGCGAGTAAGGCCATTACCCCAAAATCAGTCCCAACCTTCCTTTTGTGGTATGGAACCTTGTGGTACAATTTCATAGAGATCCATACACTTATACTCAAGTTACTGTCTGGAAACCAAATGTCTTTTGATGACAACAACAATGCCATTCCATTATACGGCTGCAAAATTTTGAGGTTGTATAATAACATGTCTAACTAGGATCCCTTTTGATATGAAAACACGAACAAAATAAAGAGAATCATAAATATAAAACGCTGTGAAAACAGCTAAGCGAAAATAAATTGGTTTATGATATGACTGACTTACCGTCTCTTGACATGCCAACCTCTAAACATTTCTGTAACCTACAGAACTGACATCTGTTTCTGTTTACCCGGTCTATAACACAGTTTCTGTTCCTCGGACACTGATAGTTGACAGGTTCAGCCTGACTTCTTCTGAAGAAACCCTGAAATATAACTTATCAGCTAGATACTTCAGCATTTCTAAGACAAAAACAAAATAATTGCCTGCTGTCTCCAAATAATATAAGCGAAAGTGGAAAAGGCCATTTTTTTGTATGGAAAAGCTGAAAAACTGCTTCGCTGAGCGCAGCTGGATACGCCCTCAGAGGTCCAACCCTGAACAGTTGGGGCAAAAATGGACACAATATTCAAGCTTGATACAGGTCTGAATTTGGATGGTAATCAAATATTTGACATATTATAGGTTTCTGAATAAATGTAGTCAAAGAACTTGAAATTGGTTATATGAATTGAATTTATATTCAATTAAAGATTTCTTACTGTTGTGCAATACACTGTGCTGTTGCGCAATACTTAGTAAATCTTAACCCGAATAATTCAGTCTTTATATTCCACTGCTCTACAATGGCTACATTAACGCCTGAAGGCCTAGTCAATGAAAAATCGTCAAAAAATCATTCGGAATTAGCTCAGGATTTACCTATCTCGATAACATTTAGCTATTGGCTGATTGGCTCTCTCTCACAGAGAGCACCAATCAAAATCCTGGATTTGTGACACGTTTTTATCGTATAAAGAGTTCAGGCCCTCGTGAGTGGGAGAGTCGATCACGGGGAGGGACTGAATTATTCGGGTTAAGTAAATCTGTTGTCAGACTATAAACAAATAAAGTTCAATTAATTCTCGATGTCATATTAGAAATTTATGAAAATGTAAAGGGAGCTTAAGGGCATACGATACAGTTACAGGCGAGGTAATGTATTTTTCGACTGATTTTTATCATTCAAACTGATTTAACTTGAAAACGAGTTCATGGACCCCTCTTTTTTAAAATGACATTCGGTTTGATTACGTATGAAGATTATTTGTACCAATTTTCATGAAAAGGTCAATAATGCAATTTTTTTAAATTTGATAAATGTATAGCAAAAAATGACGTTTTTTTCTACATTCATGAACATTTGATGAATTTGAGTTATTTCTGAACAAAAGATTTCATAAATTTATAGGATACTTATATAAATCAGAAATTACAAATAATTTAACAAAAAACAGCTTGTGTTTATCTTTTAAAACAAAAAAGTTATGCATTTCTGTCGGAAGGAAAAATACGTCCACAAATCCGAATTTTGAGCAAATATCTGAAATTTCGAACTCATTTTACTCAAAAAGTAGCACATGAAGGTATATTTTTTATTACATATTTGATTTAATCAGGTAAAGAATAGCCTATTTGCAAATTTTCATCAAATTTTCATTATGGGATCAAAACTGTATCGTATGCCCTTAAATCAATAGACATAAACAATTCACCAAAGTTTCATGAGAATTGCTGACAGCATTTTTGAGTTATTGTCCGAAAACTGGAAAATGCCCCCTTTTTTAATGAATAAAACCCCATAACTCAGAAATGATAAATGAAAAATTAATAAAATTCTAAACAGAGCTTACATCAATAGATATAAACAATTCACCAAACTTTCATAAGAACTGCTGAAGTTATTGTCCTAAAACTGGAAAATCCCCCCTTTTTTAATGAATAAAACCCCACAACTCAGAAATAATAAATGAAAAATTTATAAAATTCTAAACGGAGCTTACATCAATAGATATAAACAATTCACCAAAGTTTCATAAGAACTGCTGAAAGCATTTTTGATTTTTTTGTCTGAAAACTGGAAAATCCCCCTTTTTTATGAATAAAACCCTGTAACTCGGAAACGTAAAATCTAAAATATATGAAAATCAAAAGGGAGCTCATGTCAATAGATATAAACAATTCACCACAATTTCTTGCAAGTTGGTGAAAGCATTCTCGAGTTATTGGCCGAAAACTGGAAAATCCCCCTTTTTTTAATGAATAAAACCCCATAACTTGGAAACGTAAAATCTAAAATAAAAAAAAAACGAAAGGGAGCTCATGTCAATAAATATAAACAATTCACCAAAGTCTTATGCAAATTGGTTAAAGTGTTTTTGAGTTAATGTCCGACATGTTGACGATGGACGGACGGACAGACAGACGGACGGACGGACAGACGGACAATGGTATACCATAATACGTCCCGTAAACGGGCGTATAAAAATCTCTCAGAACAAAAAATTAAAACTAGCAGGTGCACAACTGCATGTGCTGAAAAAAATCTGTGTAATGAATAAGTTCTCATATTATAACATGTCCAACTAGGATCTTTCCTGATATGAAAACCCCTTTCATGATTGTAAGATTTTTTGTGAATATCATTACTTTCACACTAATTTTTTTCACACAATTTCAATCATTTGACTCAAGTTGGTGTCCTTTTTTCTCATAGTTGAATTCATACTTGATTTTGGTAATTCCAACATCAACACATTCGTGTTGACGGTTTCAACGCCGTTACTTCAAGAAGTTTTATACCATTTACTAAATGCTACATAATTAACTCGAAAAGTAATTTCACAAAAATCCCAATTTTAACATTTTCCAAAAAAATCCCAATTTTCACTTGTCATATTTCAATACCGTGAATATCTTTATCAATAAGAGGAGCATTGCTAATTCTCTTCTGAATCCTTGTCAACAAAATAATTACCTTGCAACCTTCACACGTTATTACACCATATTGAACTCCAGATGACTTATCTCCACAGACTTTACATGGTATAACTTCAATGTTTGCTGTAATGATAGTTTAAACAATGTCATTTCTCATGTAGAGAAATTTTCATGTTTGAGTCATCCATTTTTAAATTATTTTTTCGTTGTATTGCTTTACTTTGCCATAATATTAATTTTCTATTTTTCAGGCTTTTGTTTTTGGGGCTGTTCTATTATAAAATGTATGGGGGCATATATGGGAGGCACTTTTTGTAGACCCCAACCACCCAAAATATGAAATTTTCCCTTTACTTAAATATCTTGCAAAATTTTAAGAAAAAAATGCAACCACTTATAATTAAATAATTTGAATGTCTCCAATCCCCCACCAGTACAATTTTGGAACAGCCTTGGCAAAATTGGTACCATAAACAAAAGCTTCCTGTGCACCAACAAAATCTGCTTATGCATTAAAATCTGAGGGCTTTCCAGAATGGAATTAAAGTGCCTTCCAACCCCCAACCCCATACATTAATCTATGGAATAGCCCTGATGTTAAGACACTATATGTGTATATTACGACTATTCCAGAAGAAAATAAATGGGGATGCCCCCGCTTGCATAGAATGTTATAAAGGGACATAACTCGAGAACGGTTAAAGTGACGCCACCAAAATTCAAACTTGATCTGTGTTTTGTGGTAATAAGCATTGTGTACAAGTTTCATAAAATTTGGTTGAGGCAAACTTAAGTTATAGAATGGAAATGAAAAATTCAGCATTTTTTTCATTTGTAAAGGGACATAACTCTAGAAAGGTTAAAGTGACACCACCCAAATTCACAAAAAAACAACAACATAAAACTAGAGGCTCTCAAGAGCCTGTGTCGCTCACCTGACTCTACTTTGGTTTTAGAAATCATGTAAAGATAGATAAAAATCATAACAGATATCCAAATAATGATTGAGGCCAAATTTTGATTAATATTGGTCCTGTTATCTAATAAAATATCCTGGTGGCCATCTTGAACAGTAAATCGGCAACAAAGTAGCAACACTTGGTCAGCACTTCATAAGGAACATTCATGCCATGTTTGGTTTCATTCCATTCAGTGGTACTCTAAAAGAAGACATGTGTATGTATTTCCCATAGGGTCCTATGTTAAACTAAGTCCCCCGCTGGCGGCCATCTTGGATGATGGATCCGCTACAAAGTAACAACACTTGGTGAGCACCTCATAAGGAACATTCATGCCATGTTTGGTTTCATTCCATTCAGTGGTTCTCTAAAAGAAGTCATTTGTATGCATTTCCCATAGGGTCCTATGTTAAACTAAGTCCCCTGCTGGCGGCCATCTTGGATGATGGATCGACTGCAAAGTAACAACACTTGGTCAGAAACTCATAAGGAACATTCATACCATGTTTGGTTCAATTCCATTCAGTGGTTCTCTAAAAGAAGACAATTGTATGTATTTCCCATAGGGTCCTATGTTAAACTAAGTCCCCGCTGTCGGCCATCTTGGATGATGGATCGGCTACAAAGTAACAACACTTGGTCAGCATCTCATAAGGAACATTCATGCCATGTTTGGTTTCATTCCATTCAGTGGTTCGCTAAAAGAAGACATTTGTATGTATTTCCCATAGGTCCTTTGTTAAACTAAGTCCCCTGCTGTCGGCCATCTTGGATGATGGACCGACTGCAAAGTAACAACACTTGGTCAGCACCTCATAAGGAACATTCATGCCATGTTTGGTTTCATTCTATTCAGTGGTTCTCTAAAAGAAGACATTTGTATGTATTTCCCATAGGGTCCTATGTTAAACTAAGTCCCCCGCTGGCGGCCATCTTGGATGATGGATCGGCTACAAAGTAACAACACTTGGTCAGAACCTCATAAGGAACATTCATGCCATGTTTGGTTTCATTCCATTCAGTGGTTCTTCTAAAAGAAGACATTTGTATGTATTTCCCATAGGGTCCTATGTTAAACTAAGTCCCCTGCTGGCGGCCATCTTGGATGATGGACCGACTGCAAAGTAACAACACTTGGTCAGCATCTCATAAGGAACATTCATGCCATGTTTGGTTCCATTCCATTCAGTGGTTCTCTAAAAGAAGACATTTGTATGTATTTCCCATAGGGTCCTATGTCAAACTAAGTCCCCCGCTGGCGGCCATCTTGGATGATGGATCGGCTACAAAGTAACAACACTTGGTCATCATCTCATAAGGAACATTCATGCCATGTTTGGTTTCATTCCATTCAGTGGTTCTCTAAAAGAAGTCATTTGTATGCATTTCCCACAGGGTCCTATGTTAAACTAAGTCCCCCGCTGGCGGCCATCTTGGATGATGGATCGGCTACAAAGTAACAACACTTGGTCAGCATCTCATAAGGAACATTCATGCCATGTTTGGTTTTATTCCATTCAGTGGTTCTCTAAAAGAAGTCATTTGTATGCATTTCCCATAGGGTCCTATGTTAAACTAAGTCCCCCGCTGGCGGCCATCTTGGATGATGGATCGGCTACAAAGTAACAACACTTGGTGAGCACCTCATAAGGAACATTCATGCCATGTTTGGTTTCATTCCATTCAGTGGTTCTCTAAAAGAAGTCATTTGTATGCATTTAATTCCCATAGGGTCCTATGTTAAACTAAGTCCCCCGCTGGCGGCCATCTTGGATGATGGATCGGCTACAAAGTAACAACACTTGGTCAGCACCTCATAAGGAACATTCATGCCATGTTTGGTTTCATTCCATTCAGTGGTTCTCTAGAAGAAGTTCAAAATGTAAAAAGTTAATGCCGACGACGGACGACGCCAGACGACGGACGACGGAAGCCAAGTGATGAGAAAAGCTCACTTGGCCCTTTGGGCCAGGTGAGCTAAAAAAGTTAACAGGAATAGCAAATAAATCCTTAGTCAGGAAATTATAAAATTGTGTTACCGAATGTATATCAAGACTTGACAATGTTGGCTGGATGACTGTTTAACATTCAGTGACAAACTGAATGCATATTCAGGACAAGAACATGATGTGATATGAATATAGACCATGCTTTGTACTAGACCTACACATGGAGCCAGAATAACAACCTGGTAGTTCACAAAGCAACAGTCAGTATGACTTTGTCTCAACCTACCAAGAGACATTATTCCAACCGTGATCAGACCAGTCTTTGCTCTTATTCTTAAATGTCATGTGATTGGCAGAGAAGCAAGAAATACAACTATTCAAGTCCTTGGTTTGCCTTGACCAGTGATTGAAACCCACAACCTCCTGCACTAGCTACAATGCCACAACCAGACCACCAAGGAAGTTATGTCAAGACATGTGAACTCAATTTCAGCTCTTACAATGTATAAGAAATAAATGGATTCTTTCTACATACCATGAAACAAGTTTTACAAAGTTATCATTAAGAGCGATGCCAGCTTTGGCATCAAAAATGCTGCTCCTGTTGTCACCACAGAAATCTTCAGAGACAACATCATTTTCTGTGTATCCCATAACACCCTTCATTTGACCCTCAGATGCTGCTTTGATGGCTGCCTTAATGTTATCATAAGATGCCTGAAATAAAATGTGAAATTTTGTCAATATGTCAATCTTGGATCTTCTACAAGAATACATCAACAAAGTTAGAAAAGTGGTGAAAAAACTAGAAAATATTTTGATACAAACAAGGCAATACATTTTATTTTATATTATTTTATTTCTTGTATTATTTTTAATTTTAGTTTCTTGTGTACAATTTGGAGTTTAGTATGGCGTTCATTATCACTGAACTAGTATATATATTTGTTAAGGGGCCAGCTGAAGGACGCCTCCGGGTGCGGGAATTTCTCGCTGCATTGAAGACCTGTTGGTGACCTTCTGCTGTTGTCTGTTCTATGGTCGGGTTGTTGTCTCTTTGACACATTCCCCATTTCCATTCTCAATTTTATTTAATAGGGTTATATAAAAATTTGAGCAGACTTTTAAAGGTTTTATGGCAGCCATCCCAAAAATGGTTGTCAAAAGATAATTTTTGACATGGGGAATCAATTTGGAATAGCATCTTATACCTATATATGAATTTTCATTGAAATTCTAGCACAAAAAGATGTTTCTCAAAATTTGTGATTTAAAAACTTCAAGTATGCAAAGTTATTAATTTGGATGCATTCTAGGAAAAATAGAGCTTTCTCAAAATTTGAGATTTATTAACAAAAACTATGTTCTCACTGCAAATTTAATACTGGGAATTCCTTTGGAATAGCATATCATTATACCTATACATAAATTTTCAATTTCAAATTTGAGTAGAATGTTATTACAAAAGGAATCAGTTTTCATTGAAATCCTAGCACAAAAATATGATCAACAAAATTTGTGATTTTTAAAAACAAGAATCCAAGTTTTTCTATGTAAACAAGCATTCTGTGAGTATTGGAGGCAATACATAGTCCACTACCGGTTAAAAATTCTTTGTATTGGAACAAAATTCTAACTTGATCTATAAGTTGTCATGGTGTAAACTATATACCAATTTTCAAATCAATATTGTCAAGCATGACGAAAAAAGTGCAGAAAACTATTATTTGAGTGAATTTTCTAAGTCTAAGACCATAACTCTGCACAAAATCATCAGACCAGAACAAAATTCATACTTGAACTGTAACTTGTCATGATAAAACAATACACCAAATATCAAATCAGTATCTTCAAGCATGAAGAAAAAAAGAGTGGAAAACTGATTTGCCGGACTGACGGATGGACAGACAGACAGACAGACGGACGGAGTGCAAACCTAAAGTCCCCTTAGACTTTGTCGGTAGGGGACTAATTAATGGGCCAATTTTCACCTAAAATATAACTGCACATTGACGTATAAAGAGGAATTATTTGAATTTGAAATAATTTTGAATTCTGGAAAATTGATAACAAATGTATAATGAAAAATAACCAAACTAAATAGGGTTAGCCACACATGGCTAAGGTTAATTCTACTTTCACTAATATTTCATTTAAGAAATAATTCATGGAAGCCATAGATTTGTTGGAAATTTACACATGGCCTGGGCCGTGATAACGCTCAGGATAAAATTAACGGTCCAGGTCATGTGTAAATTTACAACAAATCTATGGCTTCCATGAATTATTTCGATTCTAATAGGACAAATACGGTCATTAAAAAACTGAAGCGAGGGTGGATATGCCATGCGTGTGGCCATTCTAATTTACCCCCTGTTAGATAAAGCTAAAAAAGAATCTAATAAATCTATAGCTTGCATTTATTATTTCTTAAATAACCGCTAGAAAAAAATGTGTTTAATTCTTTTAATTCTCAACCAAACATTTGCCATTTTTAATTTACATTTTTTTCTTGTACGCTACTGTCAAATCCACTGTTACATTTCCTAACTAAGGAGCCGCCATGTTGACTTGCTGAAATCAGTAAATGTGCGAATAATGCAATAGAAAAGAAAATAAAACACCTACCTCAAAACTCCATTTTAATGCAATATTATCCGATTTAGGGGGTTAACGCAACGGAAAAACCTTCAGCTTTGGCGTCGTATGATGTCATGTTTTGAAATGACTTTAATGTGCCAAAAACATTAATGAAATTTTGCAGAATTTTATTTTATTTTGATTTTGTACATATCTCAGAGCTTTAATGCATTAGTTCATTTTGTTATGCCTCAGAATAAGAATAAAGGTTCTGTAGTTTTTTTCAATTGCAATTTTTAACACAGCGAAATTGGCATAGCGTTTGCACATAGATTACAATACAATTACATGTGGATTTACGTGGGAGGTACATTGTAACAGCCATTATTATGTACATCTTTGAGTCTGCGCTAAGTATAGATATATCGAAAATTTTACCACAGTGTTGTTTACAAAGCGAAAGAGGCATGTCATATTAGAATATGAACTAACCCCTCTAACCCTTCTAAATTATTCCAGATTCAAACAATTTCTTGCTATATGCATAACAAAATTTCATTGGCCATCTACCCATACAAAATATGCATAACAAAATTTCATAGGCCATCTACCCATACAAAAATAAGTTGAATACAGTATATATATTCAGACAGAATTCAGTAGCTTGAAGGTTATTCCTGTTAATTTATTCCTATAAAGACTTGATATAGAAAGGGAGATAACTACTATCTTTAGCTATAACTTACACCATTCTTTATTCTAACTGTTAGATCTACTACTGACACATCTGGTACTGGTACCCTGAAGGCCATTCCTATTAATTTACTGTAAATATACACAAAAAATAGGTTGTCAATTTACTTGAATAAATACCAATATGACCATTGCAAGAGAAAAAAGATAATGTTGCATGGGTTAAATTGAAAATAAAATGCTCCGCTGAGGCACAGCTGCATACGACCGCAGAGGTCGAACCCTGAACAGTTGGGGCAAGTATGGACACAACATTCAAGCTTGATACAGCTCTGAATTTGGATTGTGATTAAATATTTGACACAGCATAGGTTTCTGACACAGAATGAATGTGGTCTAAGAACTTAATTTTTTTAATTTACCTATTCAAACCACATCATTATTATTTGCTTTTATATATAAATCAGAAATAACCAATTTAAAATGGAAAATTTTAAAGAAAAAAAAAAGGAAAACTGGAGGCTCTCAAGAGCCTGTGTCGCTCACCTGTATTTACTGATGCTTTGGAAATCATGTAAAATTAGGTTAAAATCATAATTAATAGTATTAGATATTATAATGATATCTAAGATTATAACAAAAAACTGCAAAATTTTTGTAAAATTAAAGAACCGTAGTGAGCGCGCTCACATACCCCACGTCCCCACATTGTCATTGGAGAAATAAAATAAGTGAAAGAAAAAAAAATTGTATCAGAAAAAAAAATTGAATCATAATTTCCTGTCAATATGCACATCTACATAGTATGTCCTTATTATCTACACAGTTTCATGAAATTCTGTTGTGTGGTTTGAGAGGAGTTGCGATGACAAAAGGTTGCAGTAGTATATTGGGCAAATAAGTTCAAAGGGGCGTAACTCCTGGAAAAAAATTGAATCGTAATTTCCTGTCGATATGCACATCTACGTAGTATGTCCTTATTATCTGAAAAGGTTTCATGAAATTCTGTTGTGTGGTTTGAGAGGAGTTGCGATGACAAAAAGTTGCAGTAGTATATTTGGCAAATAAGTTCAAAGGGGCGTAACTCCTGGAAAAAAAATTGAATCGTAATTTCCTTTCGATATGCACATCTACGTTGTATGTCCTTATCATCTGAAAAGGTTTCATGAAATTCTGTTGTGTGGTTTGAGAGGAGTTGCGATGACAAAAGGTTGCAGTAGTACATTAAAGTAAATAAGTTCAAAGGAGCGTAACTCCTAGAAAAAAAATTGAATCGTAATTTCCTGTCAATATGCACAACTACATAGTATGTCCTTATTATCTACACAGTTTCATGAAATTCTGTTGTGTGGTTTGAGAGGAGTTGCGATGACAAAAGGTTGCAGTAGTATATTGGGCAAATAAGTTCAAAGGGGCGTAACTCCTGGAAAAAAATTGAATCGTAATTTCCTGTCGATATGCACATCTACGTAGTATGTCCTTATTATCTGAAAAGGTTTCATGAAATTCTGTTGTGTGGTTTGAGAGGAGTTGTGATGACAAAAGGTTGCAGTAGTATATTGGGCAAATAAGTTCAAAGGGGCATAACTCCTGGAAAAAAAAATGAATCTTAATTTTCTGTCGATATGCACATCTACGTAGTATGTCCTTATTATCTGAAAAGGTTTCATGAAATTCTGTTGTGTGGTTTGAGAGGAGTTGCGATGACAAAAAGTTGCAGTAGTATATTTGGCAAATAAGTTCAAAGGGGCGTAACTCCTGGAAAAAAAATTGAATCGTAATTTCCTGTCGATATGCACATCTACAACGTATTTCCTTATTATCTGAAACGGTTTCATGAAATTCTGTTGTGTGGTTTGAGAGGAGTTGTGATGACAAAAGGTTGCAGTAGTATATTGGGCAAATAAGTTCAAAGGGGCATAACTCCTGGAAAAAAAAATGAATCTTAATTTTCTGTCGATATGCACATCTACGTAGTATGTCCTTATTATCTGAAAAGGTTTCATGAAATTCTGTTGTGTGGTTTGAGAGGAGTTGCGATGACAAAAAGTTGCAGTAGTATATTTGGCAAATAAGTTCAAAGGGGCGTAACTCCTGGAAAAAAAATTGAATCGTAATTTCCTTTCGATATGCACATCTACGTTGTATGTCCTTATCATCTGAAAAGGTTTCATGAAATTCTGTTGTGTGGTTTGAGAGGAGTTGCGATGACAAAAGGTTGCAGTAGTACATTAAAGTAAATAAGTTCAAAGGAGCGTAACTCCTAGAAAAAAAATTGAATCGTAATTTCCTGTCAATATGCACAACTACATAGTATGTCCTTATTATCTACACAGTTTCATGAAATTCTGTTGTGTGGTTTGAGAGGAGTTGCGATGACAAAAGGTTGCAGTAGTATATTGGGCAAATAAGTTCAAAGGGGCGTAACTCCTGGAAAAAAATTGAATCGTAATTTCCTGTCGATATGCACATCTACGTAGTATGTCCTTATTATCTGAAAAGGTTTCATGAAATTCTGTTGTGTGGTTTGAGAGGAGTTGTGATGACAAAAGGTTGCAGTAGTATATTGGGCAAATAAGTTTAAAGGGGCATAACTCCTGGAAAAAAAAATGAATCTTAATTTTCTGTCGATATGCACATCTACGTAGTATGTCCTTATTATCTGAAAAGGTTTCATGAAATTCTGTTGTGTGGTTTGAGAGGAGTTGCGATGACAAAAAGTTGCAGTAGTATATTTGGCAAATAAGTTCAAAGGGGCGTAACTCCTGGAAAAAAAATTGAATCGTAATTTCCTGTCGATATGCACATCTACAACGTATGTCCTTATTATCTGAAACGGTTTCATGAAATTCTGTTGTGTGGTTTGAGAGGAGTTGTGATGACAAAAGGTTGCAGTAGTATATTGGGCAAATAAGTTCAAAGGGGCATAACTCCTGGAAAAAAAAATGAATCTTAATTTTCTGTCGATATGCACATCTACGTAGTATGTCCTTATTATCTGAAAAGGTTTCATGAAATTCTGTTGTGTGGTTTGAGAGGAGTTGCGATGACAAAAAGTTGCAGTAGTATATTTGGCAAATAAGTTCAAAGGGGCGTAACTCCTGGAAAAAAAATTGAATCGTAATTTCCTGTCAATATGCACAACTACATAGTATGTCCTTATTATCTAAAAAGTTTTCGTGAAATTCTGTTGTGTGGTTTGAGAGGAGTTGCGATGACAAGAAATAGGACTGATGGACGGACAGACAGACAGGTCAAAAATATTATACCCTCCGCAACTCGTTGCGTGGGGTATAATTACTAACTCATGGGCAGCAACCCAACAACGGGTTGTCGGATTCGTCTGAAATTTCAGGGCAGATAGATCTAAATCTGATGAACATTTTTGCCACCTGTCAGATTTGCTCTAAATGCTTTAGATTTAGAGATATAAACCAAAAACTGCATTTTACCCCTATGTTCTATTTTTAACCAAGTCGGCCATGATGGTTGGAAGGCGGGGTCATCGGACAAATTTTTTAAACAAGATACCCTTATAATGATTATGGCCAAGTATGGTTAAATTTGTCTCAGTAGTTTCAGAGAAGAAGATTTTTGTAAAAGATTACAAAAATTTACAAAAAATTGTTAAAAATTGACTATTAAGGGCAATAACTCCTAAAGGGGTCGACTGACAATTTTGGTCATAACAACTTATTTGTAGATCTTACTTTGCTGAACATTATTGCTGTTTACAGTTTATCTCTATCTATAATAATATTCAAGATAACCAAAAACTGCAAAATTTCCTTAAAATTACCAATTCTGGGGCAGCAACCCAACAACAGATTGTCAGATTTGTCTGAAAATTTCAGGGCAGATAGATCTTGACCTGATAATCAGTTTTATCTTTTGTCAGAATTACTCTTAATGCTTTGGTTTCAGAGATATAAGCCAAAATCTACATTTTACCCCTATGTTCTATTTTTAGCCATGGCGGCCATCTTGGTTGGTTGGCGGGGTCATCAGACACATTTTTTAAACTAAATACCCTAATGATGATTGTGGCCAAGTTTGGTTAAATTTGGCCCAGTGGTTTCAGAGGAGAAGATTTTTGTAAAAAGCTAGCGACGATGGACGACGACGACAACGGACGACAAGTGATGAGAAAAGCTCACTATGGAACCTTGTGGTATAATGTCAGAGAGATCCATACACTAACACACAAGTTATGTCTGGAAGTTACAATAAAATGCTCCGCAGGGTGCAGCTGGATACGACCGCAGAGGTCGAACCCTGAACAGTTGGGGCAAGTATGGACACAACATTCAAGCTTGATACAGCTCTGAATTTGGATTGTGATTAAATATTTGACACAGCATAGGTTACTGACACAGAATGAATGTGGTCTAAGAACTTAAAAATTTTAAATTGGACATTCACCTATTATGGTCCAATATCCAAAATCTAAATACATGGTTAGATTCAGCATATCAAAGAACCCCAAGAATTCAATTTTTGATGAAATCAAACAAAGTTTAATTTAGGACCCTTTTGACCTCAATGTGGACAAAGTTGATAACGGGGCCCAAAAATCAAAAATCTAAATACATGGTTAGATTCAGCATATCAAAGAACCCCATATATTGAATTTTTGTTGAAATCAAAGTAAGTTTAATTTTGGACCCCGATTTGGACCAACTTGAAAACTGGGCCCATAATCAAAAATCTAAATACATGTTTAGATTCAGCATATCAAAGAACCCTAAGAATTCAATTTTTGTTAAAATCAAACTAAGTTTAATTTTGGACCCTTTGGACCTTAATGTAGACCAATTTGAAAACGGAACCAAAAATTAAGAATCTAAATACACGGTTAGATTCGGCATATCAAAGAACCCCAATAATTCAATTTTTGATGAAATCAAACAAAGTTTAAATTTGGACCCTTTGGACCTCAATGTGGACCAATTTAAAAAACGGGGTCCAAAATCCAAAAACTTAATACACGGTTAGATTCAGCACATTAAAGAACCCCAAGAATTCAAGAATAAAACCCCATTGAAATTGGTCAAGAAATAAGCAATTTATACGAAGTATCTTCTTTTGCACAGTACTGTGCAATTGAATATTTCTTGCAATTGCGCAATACTGTACAATTGACAATTTCTTGCTATTGCACAATACTTATTATATAATAATTTACATATCCTGTTTGGTGTGTATCTCCTACCATATCATTATTATTTGCTTTTAAATATAAATCAGAAATAACCAACTTAAAATGGAAAATTTTAAAAGAAAAAAAAAAGGAAAAAAAAAAAATCCCCCCCCCCCAAATTTTTTGAAACCCCTTATGATTCATCACCCCAAAACTCAATCCCAGCCTTCCCTTTGTGGTATGGAACCTTGCAGTACAATTTCAGAGAGATCCATACACTTGAACACAAGTTATTGTCCTGAAACTAGAAAAATGCTTGTTTTTTTCCCCTTTTTGGCCCCTAATTCCTAAAATTTTGAGGCAATTACCCCCAAAATCAATCCCAGCCTTCCCTTTTCGGTATGGTACCTTGCAGTACAATTTCAGAGAGATCCATACACTTGAACACAAGTAATTGTCTGGAAACTAGAAAAATGCTATTTTTGGCCCCTTTTTGGCCCCTTATTCCTAAACGTTTTGGGCAATTACCCCCAAACTCAATTCCAGCTTTCCCTTTGTGATATGGAACCTTGTAGTTCAATTTCAGAAAGATCCATACACTTACACACAATTTATTATCATGAAACTAGAAAAATGCTTGTTTTTTGCTCCTTTTTTGGCCCCTAATTCCTAAAATTTTGAGGCAATTACCCCTAAAATCAATCCCAGCATTCCCTTTGTGATATGGAACCTTGTGGTACAATGTCAGAGAGATCCATACACTAACACACAAGTTATGTCTGGAAGTTACAAAAATGCTTATTTTTGGCCCCTAATTCCTTAACTGTTAGTACCATAACCCCCAAAATCAATCCCAACCTTCCTTTTGTGGTATTGAGCCTTATGGTAAAATTTCACGGAGATCCATTCACGTTAACTAAAGTTAGAGTGCGAAAACCAATGTGTCTTCGGACGACGCCAACGTCATACCAATATACGACCAAAAAATTTTTAATTTTTGCGGTCGTATAAAAATGCTTATTTTTGGCCCCTAATTCCTTAACTGTTGGTACCATAACCCCCAAAATCAATCCCAACCTTCCTTTTGTGGTATTGAACCTTATGGTAAAATTTCATAGAGATCCATTCACTTAAACTAAAGTTAGAGTGCGAAAACCCATGTGTCTTCGGACGACAACCGAAAAATTTCTTGCGGTCGTATAAAAACTGCTTATGCAATTATTTTGGAAAACCTAGAAAATCAAATCTATGGATTTGATGGATTTACAGTATGACACTTAACCATAAAATATTTACCCATTGAGTTCTGGAATGACTTTACCGACAGCTTTAGCTGCTCCTGTTGAGGATGGGATGATATTCTGTGATGCACCTCTGCCTCCTCTCCAGTCCTTCATGATTGGACCATCAACAGTCTTTTGTGTAGCTGTCATTGCGTGAACTGTGGTCATTAATCCTTCTAAGATACCAAATTTATCATTGATCATTTTGGCGAGAGGAGCCAAGCAGTTAGTGGTACAAGAAGCATTGCTGCAACAAATATGTATAGATATTATTTTAAAAGTCAGTGGCAAGTCCTGGTCATATCATTTAGACATTGGCAAGTCACACTTAACTCTCAAGCCTTTGAGTCCAATATTGTTGTGACAAAAGTGTTGCCAATGACTGATTGCCCAGCTTTTAGAGGTAGACCATGCTAAGAATCAAATTATGTTTACATAATTCAATTATTTGAAAACTGATGCATCAAGTCAATGTTTTGTATTCTACACATCTAATTTTTTTGTCATATTTTTAAGGACATAAATTTAAAGTAAGAATAAATGTAAACATAAAATTTCATTTTTCCTTTCAAGTGTGACAAAATGTTGCTTCTTAACACAAATAAAATACTGTTAATTCATTTATCCTAGAGGTCATATGTTGTGGGTCTCATTGGGGTCTAAGCGTGACCCGGGATTGCCGATTTTTTAAATTTTCTATTTCTATTTATTTCTGATATTTTCTTTTTACTTTTTTTCCTATTTGTTTTTATATTTACTAATGCTTTTTTTTTACTATCAATTTGTAATATCAATATATCACTCGAATAAAAAAAAATAATATATGTATAAAAACGTTAAAAATTGAATAAGAATGTGAAGTCATATGTTATAGGACTAACTCAATCCAAAATGCATGTCTAGTTTATTTAAAAAAAAAAAAGTTTTTCATTTTGGTTATTAATCCATAGGTGCTTGAGGACAGGACCCTATGTTGAGCCCCCATAGTCCCTCCCCCTTTATTATCATAAATCCCTGATTTTCTAAGATATATCATTTATTTATACCAATATACATGTATCATATTTTTACTCTTAATATACATGTTTACTATCAATGTGCCACTCGACTATTTGGAATAAAAATATGGTATATTGGTATACATATGGTACAAATAAATGATATCTATATTAGAAAATCGGGGATTTATGATAATAAAGGGGGAGGGACTATGTGGGCTCAACATAGGGTCCTGTCTTCAAGCACCTATGAACAATGAAGCCAATTAATGACCAGGGGCTTGTTCAGTGGGTCAGACGAGGTTTCACTGTCAATGGCGGTGGCTATCCTATATAAAATACCAACCGCCATTGACAGTAAAACCTCGTCTGACTATATATACAAGCCCCTGTGATAAATGAGCATCCTCATCTGGTTTATGATTATGCGATTACTTTGCCGCTTTAATAGTGATTATTTGATTACCAGACCAAATATTTCATGATTATTTGATTATTTGACAATCTAGGACTGTATTTTTGATTATTTGATTATCTTGTTTAAAAAAAATAATTAATGATTATGTGATTATATTGGCAAAATAATTGTGATTATGTGATTATTTGGACACCCCCATAGAAAAATTAACCATGCATATAAATATCTGAATAGGTTTATAAAACCTTAATACCTTAATATATAGCTTTTTTATATATATAAAAGAAGGGCAAACTTACCAAGGGCGAACGGACCAAGGGCGAAGATATCATTAGGGCGAACGTACCCGATACCGTAAGAAGGGACAAACTGGTCTGGTCACACAGCATTTTTGGATGAGGTCGTC